TCTAAAATGGTTTTCTAGATGAGAACTGGACTTTGTGTTGCTGAGTGATGTTGGGTTACAAGATCCTATGATGTCATATCCAAGTTGTGAGATGAAGCCCAATGATAGAATGCAATGCTTTATGCTTGAGGATGATTTATGCAGGTCTCCAAAAAAGGAAGGAAGGTCTTCGTAACAAGGCTTCTTGTTTGAAGGAAAAAGGGTACTTGACGGGGTGATGGTATGATTCCTCGACACTCGTCTTGGACTCAACATTTGCTGATGAAATAAAAATGGCTTGCATAGCTTGAAAGCACATAGAGGTCCTACCCATATGTAGTGTAATTTTCCCAACTCTGGCGTGTCTTTGCAGAAATTTCTGTGAAAAGAAGTCTCATAGCTTCCTTGAAAGATTTAACCCAATACCCTGAACTTTGACACGGGCTGCCCACGATTATTCATTCTTGGAATGGTCGACTTTGTTGTGCTCTCGAGGACAACTGATCTTAGTGAGCTCTTGAGGTGACCTACCCTGGTGGAAGCGACTTAACTCGTTCTGACTAGGCGTTGGAGGGATTCACCCTTAGTCAACAAAAACTCTGGATGGTCTTCTCCTGTTTGGTAGAGTCTTGAGATGATTCTCCTCTGATCAACTGACTCTTGGTTGATCCTCCCTAATCAACTGATGCTTTAGGGACTAACTGATTCCATACTCACTGGATGTCAATGCCCTAGATCCAAAAGACTACAAGGTACACTTGATTCAGATCCAGACTGCTGAATGATCCAATCCTCTTTAATTGCTCCTTATTGGAATTTCCTCAATGTCAATTACTGACTTACAATTGAAATTTTTTCACTCACGAATGATAATTTTAATGTGATTCTCATGAAAATTTTGAAAAACCAGTCATTAGGGCTGGAAATGAGTCGAGTCGAGTCGAACTCACCTCAGCTCGACTCGACTCGTTAAGAATTGTTCGAATTCGAGTTCGAGTTCGAGTTTGACACGAACTTTTTTTTAAGCTCAAACTCGACTCGTTATAAGTTCACGAACAGTTCAGTTCGACTCGTTAGGTTCATCTCATTAGGTTCAGCTCACATGGTTCACGAACTTAAAAACTATTTTTTTAAATATATATATTTTTTAGTATATTTTACATTTTAAATAAATAAATATATTTTAAATAAAATATTAAAATAAAATAAAAGTTATCATATTGAAATTTAACTTTATCTTCGAAATCTACTAATTCAAAACCTACACAACTTTCAAGAGATACATTTGAGAGTCTAATTCAAAAACTACTAAATTGAAGATTAAATTTGTCTAAGATTTGAAGTAAATATTTAAACCTAATTTTAAAGACAGTATAATTCTTTTCATATGTAATCGAGTTGACTCATGAACCTAACGAGTCGAACTATGTATAGTTCAAGTTCAACTCATTTAGTTAACGAACTTAATTTTTCGCTCATACTCAACTCATTTGGTTCATGAACCTAGTTCAACGATTTAATTGTCGAGTCGAATTCCGAACTATCTTCGAGTTGGTTTGGTTCATTGCCAGCCCTACCAGTCATTATTAAAATGATGTGATAATGTGTGTAACGAATGGACCATTAGTCCAAACGCAATGCTAATTTAGCTAGTGAAATCAAGAAGAAGATTATAAAATCTCGTAGGAGTCAGTTACGCAACCTTGTTGTAGTATGGTTCACAGTTATTGAGGGTTGTAACATGGTATGGTTCACAGTTACACAAGAAGATTATAAAAGCAAGAAGAAGATTATAAGATCCTGCTTCAATTAGGACTTTTGAGGGTTATAACGTGGTATGGTTCACAGTTATTGAAACAAACGATAAAAGGCTCAAAGTTTGATTATTATCCATCCTTTCTCCTTGATGTTCTCCAGTCCTACATTCAGCTAATTTGGCACAAGCGATCACCTTCCAAAAGGTTATTGAATGGTAGAAGCGATGGTTAAGGAACCCACAAGGTTTTCGGAATGACAATCATCCCTCTTGTCTTTGGTGTTATGTAGTCACCCGACTTGTTCTTACTCGAGGATTTTTCTTTTGTAATCTTTTTTCGCTTTTTCTATTTTGTTTTTGATTTCTATGATTTTTTTCTGAACTGATTCTTTTGAATTTTTTCGATTTTGAACTCCAGCGGGATTCCCTAACTTTTGCCTAAGTCACTCATTTTCGAGTTTTCGACTTAGCGGGCTTTTCCTTTTTTTTTTCATTTTGATTCTTTTTTTTTTTTGAACAAATTGTGTGACACTAGTTGTCTTGATTTCTCCGAAAGGGTTATCACTACCTCATTTCTTGGTCGGTGAGGGATAACCATTATGTTTTCACGTCCTTTAATCTCTTGATGAGTGAGGAATAACAAGTGATTGATTCTCAAATGCATAATCCTTTTGAAATTTAAACACCCGGTCAAATTAACTGATGACTACCCTGCCCCAGGTTAAGATGTGAGGGTTTTTCCATATGGAAAAAAACTCCTACTTCCAGACTCAGAGGGGTTAACGAGGGACTATCTCCTTAATCTCTCCAGTTTTTAGGGGATTTGAAACAATGCATGTACATCATCAGCATGATTTTATCTAAAAGCAAACCAGCAGCAATTATGGGTATTCCATTTTCATCATCCTCCCTCCAATCTTTGCTAAAACAACAGTGATAAAGAAAGTGGACAAGAGGTGTATGTGTATGTGCTTTTTAATAAATGAGAAAAATGAGCGAATGCGACATGATTAATTCAAAAAATGCACGATCACTTCATTAATATTACCATTCAAAACAACAATATTTAAACACAAGTAGCACTTAACAGGAAAGAAAATACAATGTAAATGATAAAAGTGATCCCATGATTGCCAGCTCTGAGGATGTCTTCCTATCTAGACCACTGGCTTTAGGAGATGACCCTTGAATTCTTCGAGCTCAAACAGATGAGAGGTTGACGTGTACAACCAAATTTTCTTCTGGAAAGGATATGTACCATTTATCAATCAACTATTTCACTTTGGCTTAGAAGACTTTGCAATATTCAATTGAGTGCCCCATGGATCCTCCATGATATCCACATTGCACATTGGGATCGTACCCAGGAGGGTATGGCTCTGGCAACGACTTGAGAGTCTTGAGCTCCACCAATGAGTTTTGAATCAGATGTGGCAAAGAGTTGATTGTACGACATAAGAACTGGATGAAGAAGAGCATTCCTTCTTTCCAAGTTGTTGCGAGGCCTATGCTGGCTTTGAGACTGATAGTTCTATTGTGGAGGAGCATAAAAATGTATTATGTTTAAAATAATGTAATTTTTAATTTCATTTATAATAAATATTATGAAAAAAAAATTATTAAAAAAAGCCCGTTTAGGGTCGGGTAACCCAAAATCTACTTAAGGTCGGACTCGGGTAGTAATTTCCGAATCCATATTACAACAGGATTTTTTTGGCACAGCTGCCTGAGACCCGTCAAGATCAGTCTGTTTAGAACCGAGGAACCCATTTTGACAATTCTACTCCTTCTGCTTCACAATACGTCTCATCTTTTCAATTTTTATTTGTCTCAAATTATTTGTCCCTATAAAATATCAATATGATATTAATTATTTCTTTCTACTAACTTACCATTCTATTATATTTTAAATTATGTAACGATTGCACTACTTTATTATTAAAAAGATTATTTTAATAAATAACACTTATTTTATTATCGAAATTAATATAATAAAAATCTTAAAGAAAACCTATTATGAGATGAATGGAGTAGTTAGCTAGTAGGCCTAAAATATAACCAAGAATATATGTGTAGGATGTTTAATCTTATAATATAAATGCCTCATTCTATAGATTACTTATAACACACAATCAAATCAAATCAATTATAGAGGATATGATTCTTGGTAAAACATTAAAATGGGTAATTACTTAAAAGAATGTTTGTTTTACGGTTGAGAATTTTCTCCTTCAAGCTCTCCCCGTGATGTCAGTTATCAGTTCTTATTAAATGTTAAAATTAAAAAAGTTACAAAAGAATGATGGGTGCATATATGATACATTTTTGGAATTTTATTAAATAACCAAGTTTTTTTAATTTTAATACCAAATTAACTAATATTTTTACATAATTTTTAATATAATTATGTTTAAAAATAAAAAAGGATTAAAGAGGAGGCATCAATTGTCCTATATTATGAATGCAGAATTTTCATATAATATAGTACTATTTGAAAATATTAAACAATGTCCTCAGGCACTCATTAGCATTCCCAATAAAAAATACATAAATTTCATGCACTCAATAGTTTAATTAATTATAAGCTCCATTGGTGACACAAAGGCACAGTGTTCCCGGCAGCTATTCAACAAAAATGTTACTTTCTAATGGGAGCTATTGTTTGTATTTACCATTAAACAAAATATTAAACTCAAGTGGTTACAAAAAGTAGGTGCATGTGATGATATTATACACATCACACTGTCATAAAATGAAGAAAACAAATAGAAAAGTTTCAAAACTATATTGTCATGCTGGACAAACTCTCACCAGCGTGTGATTCATATGCTTTCTCAAAACAATTGCCACCAACTTCCAAGATGCCCATCACTATAGTCTAATAAATATTACAAATGTCACACTTGTTAGAAAAACATATCACTATTTACTCTAGTGACATTATTGTTAGTGTTATAAAATTCTTCTACAGTTTGTTTTTTTTGTCAAATCATCACTCATAAGCAAAAGCAACTCAGTTTAGATTACAACATCCTTCTCCTTATTTTGAAGTCTCGGCAGAATCGTATCTGCAACTGCGACCGCAATATAAAAGATTTTGAAGTCTTTTGCAAGGTATCATAACTGCAACAATATCACAACCGAGTTTCAGTAGCATATTCAAGGAATATAAAGGTTTGCAGCGTTATAGGAACTGTTGTAAAAACAGTGTTAATTTTTTTTGTTACGGTTAAGAGACAATATAGTAAGTGATTCAAATTCTGTGATGCTAACTAGTGAAATGGGTGCTTTTTATGTACTTTTTATACTACTAATCTTCTGCAATTCTGGGTTTCTTTGTATTGCTGGTGGTTTATTGAATTTCACAAGTTCTGGTTCTTCATCTCATAAAAATGTATCTGGAAGTAGAAACACAGAGTTGGAAGACAAGAGAGGTGTGCCATCAGGAGCTAATCCTCTGCATAATCGGTAGCAGTCCGCTGCCATGAAAACGCCTGCGATAAAACTGTATTGGAAGGTGCCGAGACCGATACTACTATTCACAATTTTTATGATAAAAAGTAGTGGTTGGTTCATACCGTGACCACTGCAAATTGAAATTGTGAAAGCCTTTACGCCACGGCGGCGATGTCACAGACACAACAAACAACATGTATGTGGGGACCACAGTCTACAGAGACAGAGATATGTTCTGAGAGTATTAGCTTCAGGACCTCTCAAAGGGCAAAAAGGAATCTGATATTCCTTTTGTTCTTGTTTGGATGTTTATGAGAAAGAAGAGGAAAAAGTATCGAAAATATATAAGAATTGTTGTAAAATATGGATTCTTTTGAGTGTTGTAATCTGACATGTTTTTGCATGAGCTGTCTCTTTGTTTCATAACAGTTAATGGATGATGTCTTGCATTGCATGCTTATCATAAATTGATTTTTTATTATAAACTTTGTTGATATCTCTTTTCGATGTATAACAAATGGATGTTTTATATGATTAAATTACTGTTTTAGTGATTCAGTTATCAATGTTAACATATTAATATTAGAAATATTAATTTATTATATTATTTATGTTGGTAATTGATTTGTTTTGAGTTTGTCATAGTCTTTAGGGATATTTGATTGAGTTAATAGTGGGTGCTGAATTTTAAGAATATATTGTTAGTGGCTTACAGCTTTATTAAGCAGTTTGTAATTCTTGTTATGTTAACGCATCAATTAATAAAACAGCAGTTTTTGGTGCCTCTGTACTCTAAGTTAACAGTGGTATCAAGAGCTGGTTAATTTAGAAAAAAATCTGAGTGAAACACAGTGAGATTTGAGCGAAAACATCATCGATGGCGTCTTCCAATGAGAATTTTGTGCAGGCTGCAATTCCTCGTTTTGATGGTCATTACGACCATTGAAGCATGTTAATGGAGAATTTCTTGAGATCCAAAGAATATTGGCAAGTCGTTGACTCCGGATTTACAGAGCCTGTGAAGGGAGCAGTTCAAACAGATGCGCAGAAGGTAGAATTTGAGGCACTGAAACTCAAGGATCTTAAAGCCAAGAACTACTTGTTTCAGGCCATAGATCGAGCAACTTTGGAGACGATTCTCAGCAAAGAAACTTCCAAACAGATTTGGGACTCAATGAAGAAGAAATTTCAAGGGAACGCTAGGGCAAGACGGGTGCAGCTTCAAGCCCTACGGAGTGAGTTTGAGACTTTACGCATGAAGTCGGATGAGTCTGTCACAGATTTCTTTGGAAGAACGATGATCATCGCCAACAAAATGAGAATTCATGGAGACAAGATGGAGGATGTGACCATTATTGAGAAGATTCTTAGATCAATGACAACAAAGTTCAATTTTGTTGTTTGCTCCATTGAAGAATCCAAAGATATTGATTCACTCATGATTGATGAATTGCAAAGTTCCTTGTTGGTTCATGAGAATAAAATCAGCAAACAAGACAAAGAGGAGCAAGCACTTAAAGCCTCGACTTATTCAAATACCTCTAATTTTAGAGGAGGCCGAGACAGGGGCAGGGGCAGAGGAAGAGGTCGAGGCGGTTACGGTAGAGGCGATAATGGTCGTAACAGTAACCATAGCAACAATCCTGCCAACCACCAGATTTTAGACAACTCAGGAAGAGGAAGAGGTCGAATGGGCTATCGTGGAGGTAATCATTCAAACAATTGTCGCCCAAAATCTAATGTTGAGTGATATCGCTGTCATAAATATGGTCATTATCAGAATGAATGTAGAACTTACTTGAATTGCCAAAATGGAGAAAGGACCAACTTTGCAGAAAGAGAAGAAGAGAAATCTCTCTTGATGGTGTGCAATGTAACCGAGGAAATTCCAGATAATCTGTGGTATTTGGATACGGGCTGTAACAATCACATGTGCGGTGATAAGATAATATTTTCAGATTTGGATGAGTCTTTTCTGAGCACCGTCAAATTCGGCGACAACTCCAAAATTAATGTTGCTGGAAGGGGCAGTATTATTTTCAAGGCCAAGGGAAATAAAAGTCACAAGATCTCCGATGTCTTCTTTGTCCCAGAATTGAAGACCAACTTGATTAGTCTAGGACAACTTCAAGAAAAGGGGTACGAGATTATGATCAAGAATGGTGTTTATCGGGTTCAAGACGAAAAATTAGGGTTGATTGCTCAAGTTAAAATGACAGATAATCGGTTGTTTCCGTTAAATCTGCATAGATCCATCGGTTCTTGTTTCTCAGCAAAGATTCAAGACTCAACATGGTTATGGCATTTTCACTATGGTCATCTCAATTTTGGAGGATTGAAAACACTGCAGCAGAAAAATATGGTAACAGGTCTTCCGGAAATCGCACCTCCAACTCAGATTTGTGAAGATTGTGCTGTCAGCAAGCAGCATCGAGACTCTTTTCCATCTGGAAAATCCATCAGAGCCAAGAAAGTGCTAGAGGTGGTTCATTTTGGACATTTGTGGCCCTCTAAATCCAATCTCGAATGGAGGTAAATGGTACTTCATTACTTTCATTGACGATTACAGTAGGAAGACATGGGTGTATTTTTTGAAAGAAAAATCTGAAGCATTTGATGTTTTCAAGACATTTAAAGTGTCTGTTGAAAAGGAAAGTGGATGCGTGATTACGGTTCTGCGAACAGATCATGGTGGAGAGTATACGTCGCATGAATTCGCAAAGTTTTGTGAGAATCATGGAATTCAAAGGCAGCTTACAACAGCATATTCACGTTAGCAAAATGGTGTTTGTGAGCAAAAAAAGCGCACTATTAGGGACATGGTTCGAAGTTTGCTAATAGAAGTGGAATCTCTAAAACTTTTTGGCCCGAAGCAGTGAATTAGAGCGTCCACATTTTAAATAGAGGTCCGACCTTTTCTGTTCAAAACATGACTCCTGAGGAGGCATGGAGTGGAAACAAATCAGCTGTCAATCACTTCAGAATTTTTGGGTGTGTTGCCTACGCTCATGTCCCGGATCAGAGAAGAACAAAACTTGAAGACAAGGGGGTGAAGTGTATTTTTCTTGGTATTAGTGATCAGTCAAAAGCATATAAGCTTTATAATCCTAACACCAAGAAGATTATAATTAGCCGTGATGTGATATTTGATGAACAAAATTTTTGGGCAGAGAATAAGAGTGTTGTTATGCATCAAGAGAAACTGGTGGATTTTGATGAAATTGAAGATGAGCATCCTGAAACTTCAAGTGTGCAGCACCGGTCCACACAACAGCAGCCCGCAGAAACAACAGCTAATAGTTCTGTGCAGATTCTTGGCTCACTAGCAACATCAACTTCAGAACCTCGTCCTCGACGTGATAAAAGAAGCGCTCACCAGCAACATCAACTTCAGAACCTCATCCTCGGCGTGATAAAAGAAGACCTGGTTGGATGATTGATTATGAGGTGACTGGAGTAAATCAATCAGAATGTCAACTAACACACTTTGCACTTCTTACAGATTGTGATCCCATGGTTTTTGAAGAAGCTATTAAGGAACCAAAGTGGAAAAAAGCAATGGATGAAGAAATTGCTTCTATTGAGAAGAACAACACTTGGGAGTTGGTTGATCTTCCACAAAGGCAAAAGACAATTGGTGTGAAATGGGTGTATAAGATAAAATTCAAGGAAGATGGAGAAGTTGACAAGTACAAGGCACGACTCGTCGCTAAAGGTTACAAGCAAGAGTTTGGGGTGGACTATACTGAAGTATTTGCTGCAGTTGCAAGACATGATACAATTAGAATGGTGGTTGCTGTAGCTGCACAAAATTCATGGCCCATCTTCCAATTGGATGTAAAATCAGCATTTTTACATGGTGATTTGAAGGAGCAGGTGTTCATTGATCAACCTCCTGGATACATGAAGTTTGGATGTGAGCAAAAAGTCTATAGACTAAAGAAGGCTTTGTATGGATTAAAACAAGCACTACACGCTTGGTACAGTAGAATTGAAGCTTACTTCCTGAAGGAAGGGTTTGAGAAATGTCCTTTTGAACACACACTTTTTGTGAAAAGTGGGGAAGGAAGAAAATTGTTAATCGTGTGCTTGTATGTGGATGATTTGATATATACAGGGAACGATTTCATCATGTTTGAAAGGTTCAAGAAATCTATAATGTTGGAATTTGATATGTCTGATTTAGGGAAGATGCATTATTTTCTCGGCATAGAAGTAGTGCAATCAAAAGCTGGCATTTTTATCTCACAAAAGAAGTATGTGGAAGAGATTCTGAACAGATTTCAGATGTCAAATTGCAATTGTGCTGCTACACCTACTGAAGTAGGCTTGAAACTTGTTCGAAATTCGGATGAAAAGAAGGTTGACAGCCACCTTTACAAGCAAATCGTGGAGAGTCTGATGTATTTAACAGGAACGAGGCCTGATATCATGCATGCTGTAAGTTTGATCAACAGGTATATGGAAAACCCTAAGGAGAGTCATCTCTTGGCTGCAAAGAGAATTCTCAGGTACTTGCGAGGTACTATTAGTTTTGGAATTTTCTACAAGAAGGGAGAAAATTCAGATCTGATTGGCTATACAGGTAGTGATTATGCTGGAGATATTGATGATAGAAAGAGTACTTCCAGCTATGTCTTTATGTTGGGTTCTGGAGCCATCTCATGGTCATCAAAGAAACAAGAGATAGTCACCCTATCAACTACCGAAGCAGAATATGTTGTTGCAACAGCATGTGCTTGTCAAGCAATTTGGTTTAGGAGGATACTTGAAGGGCTGAATTTTGTGCAGGAAAGGGAAGTTAATGCTACTGCAATTTATTGCAACAACAGTTCAGCTATCAAACTGTCCAATAATCCTGTTTTACATGGAAGAAGCAAACACATAGACGTGAAATTTCATTTTATCCGGAATCTCACAAAGGATGGAGTGATTGAACTTCACTACTGCAGAAGTGAAGACCAAATTGTCGATATAATGACCAAGCCATTGAAGCTGGCTGCATTTCAGAAGCTC